AACCCCAGCCACATAAGAGGTGGGGGCTCCCTGTTTGCCCCTTACATTGACCTAGTAAGGAGGAAGCACTGCAATGAATCTTCCTCCCGCCCCTGAAAAGATCTATGCGCCCGCTTATGCTCACACACGCCAACGCTCGCCACAGTGCCTTAAATGTTCATAGTTACTGTGCCGGCCGCACAGCCCTCCCCTCCCGAATTTTCGGCATTCCTTCGTGCTCTTTTGCACAGAGAAATATGGACAAGACCTTTCCTTTCTTTTTGAGGAGCAAGCAATGGCAGGTCTGGCATGCGGGATGATGTTACCGCATGCGCCCTCTATGCGACAGAGATGGCCTGCTTCTTTCGTCTGCTTGCTATGTTATGTCCACAAACTCTGTCTGAGCGACGCAGTCTCGAAAGCCTGAAGTTGCTATATATTCTGGTCAATACCTCACGCTACACATCAACTAACAAATATTTGTCTCCCGATAAACAGAAGCCCACGAGAATTATCCACAAACTCAATCTGACACCATTCTGTCCACCTACTAACCTATTTAAATTCAGCTTCTTTCTGCACACTATAGAAAAATGGAATAGTTTGCCTGGGTCAACCAGATTATTGCCGTTAGATGAATTCTTGAATGAATATATGGAATCACGCTTCGTTAAGAGTGTTTTTTGTTTTGTTTCTTTTTACTTTTCCTGCATTGCCTTGCTGTTTGTATTCTCCTGTTGAAAAGCCCCACTCCTGCGATAGCCTGAATTGGGTGGCAGTATGTGAAAATAAATAAATAAATCTCTGCTTCAGCCGTGTTGCTTGCCAACACCGCGGGTACAACTTACGAAGTGCGGAGCGATGGTATCTGTTTAGATGTAGCTACGTGATGGCGAGTGACGCAGACGTGTTATTGTCGTAAGTTTGATGAGAGGGCGAAGGCGTACAGCTGAGAAAGGATGCGAGACGCCGAAGCAGAGCGATTGCCGTGGCGTTCAGGTGGCCAAAAGCACCCAATCGTTCTAAGCGCCTCTCGCAACGAGCCATCGGCACTCGTCATCTATTCATCCTGCTGGCTGGCTGTCAGTAGCACTGTGCTACGTAGACTCCACACAGAAAATGACGGCAATGGTAAAAACCTGTCCAAAGGGTCCATATAGTAATTAGTTAAAAAATAATCCAAAAACTATCGAAGCATGCACGCCTTTTTGCATGGCAGCTGTGTCTCCAGTGTAGAGGCCCTCTGTTGGAAGAGTCAAATGATCCACCGTGCATTCTGCTCCCTTCGTCCACGTCACGACCTCGTGACCACATGCCACCTTTAGATGCGGTTTCGTGTAAACCCTAATAAAATTTCCATGGATAATCAAGGTGCAGCATATGTCCACTAGCACAAACGTGAAAAAATAGACAGTGTGGAGAACACTTTGGCATACTAAATAAATATAATGGGTTTTGTTTAATATTGACGATATAGCTTCTGGTGTAGATTAAGTAGAGCATTTGTAGCATAGAAGGGGGAAATTGATTAAATTTGACACGCCGAGTAAAGAAAGGGAAGAACTTTGGTTATGCAACATGAAGGGCGCATGCTGCCGGGGCCGCCGCCACACACGTTTTTACCCTTGTTTGTAGTTCCTGTTTTTGTGTTTTGTCCGCACCTGTAGTGGGGTTCTGCGTAATGATAGAATAAAGTGAGGGAATGTGGCTCCATGCATGGTATGCATGGTGGTTCTATAGAATATGTAAAGTGATCATATTCCAAAGGCTCCTAAACGGAATGGGGCAGCGGTATTGCAGAATGGGGGAAGGAAAAACATATATTGCTGAAACAGAAAAATCAACATTTTAAGGGAGGAGCTGTTTTAGGCTTAGCGTAGATTTGTGTAGTGTACGCCATAATCTGCCGTCTGGCATTTCACATGGGGAAAGTTATATGAGCCGTTCGTCCTGCAACGAGGCACTACCCTTCTCTTGGTTGGAAAAGCCGACGGAGCAAAAAGGTGATTGGTAAGAAGCCTCAACAAGCCTTAATTGTTGTTTGAAAGAAACCCACATGAATGGGTCCTGCAAATTTTGTAACCGAATGACATGTTCTAACCATGGTGCAAGAATACTTTAGGTGAGCGAACGCTGCGAAGAAAGCTCTTGGCGAGAGGGGACCGATTATATCCTCGTTTGTGGCATGCCGATAGATGACTCGCCGGACTGAGGACCGTGGCGGGCTGCTTGCAAATTCCGCAAAGCACATTCGGCATGCAGGCGACGGTTTCCAAATCTGAGAAAACTGGGTTATCACGCGATATCACCATGTGACACGCATAGAGCGGCGCCACGAAAGAGGAGGTGATAAGGAAGGAGGTTGACGATGCTGCAAGGTTGTTGTGGCGATGATAAATGAGTGCCGCTACTTTCCCACTCTAAGAGGGAAGGGGCGGGGGAAAGCTGGGGCAAAGTTTGCAGCACCATCTCTCGGGTTCTTGCAAAGCAGAACATTATCAGGCAGCGAATAGTCCCAGAGTTCGCTCACCTAAAGTATTCTTGCATCATGGTCTAGACTGAATGTCACCGGTTCTGTGTCCACCACGTGCTGGTTGCAGGTACGTTTTGGTCACTTGTAATTGCCCATTGACACTCTGAATTTTACGGTGTTCAATGGATATGTTGGGCGACGTAAGAACGAACATCGAAATGTTTTGCCGGTTCAAGAAGTACGCAACACACATTCAGAGTTCTCGACAAAGAACTTGCGGAGGGGTTGATGTGCGGGCTAGTTTCTATATATTCATAATGAAATATTGGAAGCGGGAACTAACGGGATACAAAGGAGACAAGCGCAGACTGAAACTTCTTTTTTTCAACGAAGATAATATATATTAGAAAAACAAGAAGAGAAAGGGAAATATAAATAAGGTTCCACTCTGACCAAGTGTCGTCCAAAAACAAAATTGGTCTGACTGCGCGCTCGTGTTGTGGCCCCTAATAAAGCTCAACTTTGCTTTTTCTCCTTTTTTTTAAATGCAGAAAGCATTGTTGTCACTACAAAGAGAATGTCAGTTGCTAACCAGACATTTTCTTGAGATTTTAGGCATTCTTATAATTGTTCTCATGTGTGTTTGCTGTATTATGTGACCATTTTTTCTTTTTTTTGTATAGCACTAGATCGCTGTTTTCCTAAAAAACTGCTATTATTTTTTTTTTGCTACAACATTTCTGTATTGGATCGTTCACTAGCCACTTAGGCTATGGGTCCAAATATTTCTGTACACATCTGCTATATTATATGGCAATAAAATTGCCTTTTGATTGATTGATTTACGGCGTGTTGTATGCGATGTAATGAATGCGATAGCTACAAGTTCTAATGCTATAGAAGTAAGGCTGGCAGCCAAATCTTTTGGATCCGATATCGAGAAACTTGTACAAAACGCTATTGTAAGCAGATACGACTACTCCAGGGAGAAGTGCTCTTTTTACACAGTCTCTTCGCATTGAAAGTGCACTAATACTTTCCGAGACGGCACGCGCGCCAGGCGTCGCCACCGTGCTTTTAAAATCAAAGTTCACCATTGCTACCCAAGCTACCCCCTCCCCCTCGATGTGTTTTCATGCCCGTTCAAAACAGGTGGTTTTCCTTCTGTTTGAGCATTCGATGGTAGTTCTAACAAGGGGGAGAGATGTTATCGTATGCGCCCTTCACGAGATAGAGATGAGCCAGCTGATTTGATCTCTGTTTCAAGAACACTCGCACGCTTTTACTCGCTCGTGAAAGTTACGATGCGCGGGGGCATGTTATCAATTTGGATATGTTACGGAACATGGCGGCGACGGCAAAAGCTTGCCAAGAGTGTCCACATAATTGCCATTGCAATAATAATGTAGTTTGTTCCCGCTAAATAAGTATTTTGAGTTAGCTCTGCAATTCAGTTTCCCTTTTGCTAGTAGGGGGATGGTGTGCATACAGGCAAGTAGGGGGATGCCCCCTGCTTGCCTGTATGCACACCTATGATCATAACGTAAATGACATACGTATCATGATCTACAGGTGATGACCTGTATGATTCTACGGCTGGTATTGCTTGTACAATATACTCCTCCTAAACAGAACCTGCATGGAGGACAAAAACATGTTCAAATTAACGGGAGTTTCTAAAGGAACACAGTGATGCAAGTTTTAAGTGTGAAACAGACCTCATTCGACAAGCAGCCATTCTGTTCAAAAGATTTGCGTTTACTGAGAGGCTACTGTACTTACTTATTTTCATGCTTTATCCCCACAGAGGTAAGTAGGAGTTCATACCTTTGCAGATGCTGTTCTCACAATAAAGTCAATGAAAGCACACCGTTACAGTAGCTGCTAGGCTTGATTTGCGTAGCATTTCATTTTGTTGCTATTGCATTTATTGCTTTACCCTATGTGGCTAAACTGGCCTTTTCTTTTTATACTTGTTACGACACCACACAATGGCAGAATTTTCTTTACATTCACTGTAGCATCTAACTGCTTTTGAGGTACAGGAAAATCACAGATCATAATGTCAGAGCCAGATTTTTCACATGCACTGCATTATTTACACAGATCCGGTGCTGTAAAACCATTGCATAGCAGAAATAGAAGTATGGACAACTTGTTTGTCATTTTACCGATGAACTTGACAAATACCTTCATTTGTCTGAAGCGCAATTCAATTATGCTTTAACTGAAGGAAAAATCTTGCTTTCACAGTATCTCTTCAGAAGGGTCTGAAATTTTTATTTAAAGTAGAATACTTAAGCGTTTAGATGAATTGAAAGAAAACATCATGCAACGTATTGATTTAGTACCTTTCTGGCAATTGGCTTCAGTATTTTTTTGGTTTAATGGTTTCAAGTGCGAAAAGGCGCTGAAAAAGTACAGGAGAGGAAGTGTCTGCCGGCCAGATATAACATCTCTGCAAGGTCTGATTTCTTCTCGTTACTTTGTTTTACGAGTTTAGATGCTCAATTGTGTTAATGATAATGAACTTTCTGGTCTTTCGCAGGTGGCGTAAGTCATCAGGAGCGGCAGACTTTCACCATCACACCATCTGCAAGTGTTTCGTGCCTGCACTATGAGTTCTTCCTAGAAATGGCTTGCAACCATCTTTTTGGTGCCGGCACTCCTACTATGATCAGTGCTCCTGACCCCAAGAAGACGTTCACACTGAAGAAAGCAGATGTTGCTGTTTACGACAAGGAAGTAATTACAGGCTATCATATTTGTTCAATGAAAGTGTGCTTAGCTGCAGCTTTAGAGAAAAGCATGATGTAATGAGTGTGATGCCATGAAATGCTGAGCAAGCTCCCATTCTGATTTCACTGCTCCTTTCAGACAGCACCCACCTCTCTTCTTGCTCCGCAACCAAATTACATCCAAATTATAGCCCTAGCCTGTTTGAATCCCACATCGACGGCTGTTTAGCACCCTGAATGTAACGCAAAGCCTATGACAATTTGCAGGGTCCTGCAAGCAAAAGCATGACTCTTAAAATCTGTAATCAAAGATGGTACTTATGACAAGTGTGCAGCGAAAATAACGCCTGTGATAGCACACTTTTAGCGGTGAGCCGGAGAGACGTTTATTAAAGAAATGGCATAGGTAGAACCGACCAGTTGTCAAGCGAAGCAAGCATGAGCAGCAACAACAATAGTCTTCCTTCTCTTCTTCCGCTGGCAGTCTGGTCTGGGCCGTACATCCATACTATAAATCACTCCCCCACACAAAAGCATCCTGGCGACCTGTGGAACGGGTATAACGGGTGGGTTGTAATGCGGCTTTAAGCGATTAACATGAACAATCTGGCAGCCATGAGGGCGTCACTTTGTCTATGGTTGAACCGGCTCACCAATATAGTTGACCGGGGAAGCTGGACGTATCAGTCTGTAGGGGCCTTTGTACTTTGGCAGTAGCTTTGTGGAATGGCCAGGAGAAGATGAGGAAATGCGAAGCCATACTACAGTTTCAGGTTGATATGACTGGGAAGGCAGGTTTTCATCTTGGCGACCCTTCTGGTATGGTTGATCTTGTGCAGTTGAGGAACGTGAGAGTTGCCCGCATTCTTCGGCATAACTGGCGACATTAAAAAGAGTAGTGAATTTAGTAGAGTCCAGGCGATACAAAAAAATGGTGCCCACAATTGAGGAAAATTCGTGCCCGTAGAGAAAAAAGAACGGAGAGAATTGTATCAAAGACTGAGTGGTGCTGTTCAAAGCATAACTAATAACGTTAGTATGCGGTCCCAGTTTGTGGGGTCAGCAGACACTACATGACTAGCATGTCACTTAGCATTCAACATGGTTAAAGTGGTCATTTATTTCGTTGGTTTGCGGATGGTACGCGCTGGTCGTCCGATGCACAACATTGCATTCACGAAGAAGGGCTTCTACCAATTCAAAGAGGAACCTACGCCTGCAGTCGCTGAGTAGCTCACGAGGTGCGCCATGGGGAAGAACAAGCTTGTGAAGGATAAATAAGCCAACTTCATGTGATGTGGCCATGTGATGTGGCTAGTAGCTGGTCCAATACAAAAAATGCATAAAAGTTAGCAACACACATGATTGGTCATGAAAATTATTGTTTTTGCAAATTTCAACAATGTAAAATCTACTTATGAAAGATGATCACAATTCACTAGACAAGAAAAATCATTTGCAAGAAAGGTTGAAGTTACACATAGTTTTTATTTCTAGAGGCAGTGTTGTAGGTTTGAGCTAAAGAATTCCAACAGTCGTTCGCCATAAACATTGTTGCAGGGAGGAAGATTTAAATTTAACTGATTTGTTTGCCTGGTGTTTGCACGCAGAAATTTGAATATGGTGTTGGGCAGTGGATAGTTTGTGTACAATATTTTGTGAACTAGGCAAGCTACCTTACAATTTCTTAGCGCCATAAATGAGAGGATATGAAGATCATTGAATAGGATGCTGCTGGGGTATTGAACTGGGGAGAGTGTTATTATTCTTAAAGCACAGTTGCAGTTGTGAACAAAGGTGTCTATGCAGGCTAGTTGGCACAGTTAAACCTGAATAAAACGAAATTGATAAATTCCCAGAAAAATTTGTTATACAGAGGATTTTGATATACGCAGGTTTGGCATGAAAATCTGAAAAATAAGCGTGCAAGTTAGACAAACGGGGGACTGAAGGCAGAGCTATTCCGAAACATTTATTTTGCAGTAAAAGACCGTGCTATTATTGCAGTATCAATTATATGGACACTCTCGGCGAGTTTTGCCATCACCGCCATGTTCTGTAAAAAGTCCGAATTGATAACATGCCCCCTCATATCGCAACTTTCACGAGCGGGTAAAAGCAAGCTAGTGCTGCTGAAGCAGAGATCAAATGAGTCGACCCATTCCTGTCGCCTGAAAAAGTGCATAAGATAACATCTTCCACATGTTAGAACAGGCATCAAATGCTCAAACAGATTGTAAGCCACCCGTCTTGAATGAGCATGAAACAACGTGTGGAGCGGAGGGGAATCGCTCGCGTAGCAATAATGAACTTGCATTTTAAGGGCGGTCTCAATCGCTGGCCCACTTGCTATCTTGCAGTTTCAACGCGAAGGGACTGTGTGAAAAAAGCACTTTTCTCTGGAGCGGCCCTATTTGCTCACTCCAGCGTCTTGTAGGAGTTCTGCGATATCGGATCTGAAAATGTTGGCTGCCAGCCTTACTTTTTATACCGTTATCATTTTTTAATATCGCATTTAATAAATTGATTTTGATGCATCGTCGTGTTGCCAGAACAAATCAACTGATCGCGAAAGCTACCAGCCTGCAATCTCAGGTGGCGCGGGGCAAGACTGAGGGGCGTGAAAAGTCTACCTCCGAAGATCCCTTGTCACCGTGGTCTTGGAGAGTTTTCATCAGCGCCAAATCTGACATCCCCTCGGTGGCGATGACATGGTTGTCCGAAATTAAGAGCAGTCACAGTTTCGCCGCGAGGGCGAAGCAATTAATGTGATAGCAACAACTTGGAATGTAACACTGAGAATAGCAAGCAGATCAAAACGTGCAGCGCGCTGCTCATGCACAAATGACGCACAAAAACAGCATACACAGGATGAGAGCAAACAGCGTTTACCGCTCGACACTTAACACGCTTTTTGAAGAAAAATGAGGCTTGAAACGTAATTGCAAGTACAGATATGAGTGCGAACAAGTCCCCCAGCTGTTACTTTGCTGTGTTTGAAAAGTGCACTCTTTTTGCAAACGGCTCCTGTCCTGCAAGCAAAATGATCATTGTGCGCCCGACAACTAAATACGATTATTCCGGTCAAGGTCAAAGACGCGCGATTCTCCCCACCGAAACAAAAGTGCGCGTGCACAAGCATCTACCCCCCCATTCGCGCGTCAAAGTACGTGTGGAAGATAAGCGCGCGCCAGCGCGTGGTGAAGAGCGGAGCGCCGAGTGGGGCGTGGGTATTTTTTTCTCTTTTTCTTTCTTGAGTTTTCATATATTATACACGTATACAAATGCGGTGATTGACAGCGGCTGCAAAAAACCAGTCGAGACTGTACATATAGTTGCTATAAAAAGAAAACCATAGCTGAACGTCGAGGGCTACATCATGCACGCGCAGTGAAACTATGCACGCACGCACATCGTCAAATGTGACGCCAACTATACTTGGGGGCAACTTTCTGTGGCAATGAAGTGAAAGCTACGGGGTCGGAGCTTACTGCACATGTATTCCTCCCCGAAGTAATCAGGCTACATTCACTTTCCAAATGCCCGTTGTGTTCAAATAATACCACTGCACAGAATTTGCTACATCCGCTCACACAGCTATTTGTGAGTGAAATTCCACACAAGCTCCTTCGGCGAATCGTCAGAATAGCTGGAGGGCGACGAGCACTCTCCTAAAGACGAAGGCACCATTGGGACTGTGAGGTGCACCTAAAATATACGACGTTTCCAGATATGCAATAATGGGAAATGACACTTCATGAAACAAAACAAATAATAATATCTTCTTGGTTCGTGCAGCGTCTCTTTATAAACGGCATCCCTTAGAAAATGAAGTAATGTTGTTTTTTATTATCTTCGTGCGGATAACACCGACGCATTTGTGGGATTGTATTCCTCAGCAGTGGCACACACCCTCTTTGGTTTCATGGCCGTCCCTTTATTGCCACAGAAAGTTGTCCTCGACTATAAAAGCGTGGCACTGCCAACGCGCAAAAGTAGTTTTCTTTTTTTCTTTAATTTTGGTTTGGAGTGGAGGGGGGCACACTCGCACACGCTCCCACGGCGGTGAGAACGGGGGCAACGCTGGTTCGTGGCGTGCAGGCCTGCCTGCCCACCTCGCCCTTACCCACGGGCAACAACGAGTGCTCGCTCTCACCTGGTCTGCTGTGAGCGCCACCGCCACTTGCTTCATCGACAGCGGGACAGTCAGGGAAGATGCAGGCTCATACCGAAATGTCAAAATGCGGAGCGAAATTTCTAGATTGCCTGTGGGAAAAATTCGTTACATCAAAGTTGTCTCCCGCTCTTACTTTGTTACATAGAGGTCGCGAATACATGTGCTTCTATGGAGCAAAAGCGGGTAACTGAAAAACTTTGCTATATTGAGGAAGTCATTATATGGAGGTTCGTTATAACCAGGCGTAACTGTACTTCATTGCAATAATTCGGTGTAGCATCACGCACAGAATTGTAAGATATAGTAGTTCACAAGAAACAGGCGCACTCGCAACCAAGCTTTATTTTTGCATTCATTGCACATAAAAAGCCGAGAAACCATGCAATACTGATAGCACTGGCACATTGTCTAACAAGATAAAAGCAAATTAAACTGCATACAGCTCCAATCGTCGAAGATGGCGGGAAGGTGACGAAGACAGCTGTTTTTTGCGAGTCTGGGCGCACTCTTGTCCTGGTGATCAAGTGACTCAAAAATAGGAGCTGTCTGTATGCAAGCAGCATTTCTCTGGCTTTAGGGTGAGTCCAGAGCTCCTAATTGCTTGAAGTTAAGTTTCAAGGCGTTGCAGGTGTTCGTCAAAGCTCGAGGGAAACACAACGACGTCATCCAAATAAATGAGGCAGGTCTGCCACTTCAAGCCAGTCAGGACTGTATTCATGACTCGTTGGAAAGTTTCAGGTGCCGAGCAAAAACCAATGGGCACGATCTTGAACCCAAACAGGCCGTCCGGTGTTATGAAGGCAGTCTTTTCTCTGTCTCTCTTGTTGGCT